TTTTTTTTTTTTTTTTTTTTTGAGACAGAGTCTTGCTTTGTTGCCCAGGCTAGAGTGAGTGCCGTGGTGTCAGCCTAGCTCACAGCAACCTCAATCTCCTGGGCTCAAGCGATCCTCCTGCCTCAGCCTCCCGAGTAGCTGGGACTACAGGCATGCGCCACCATGCCCGGCTAATTTTTTCTATATATATTAGTTGGCCAATGAATTTCTTTCTATTTATAGTAGAGATGGGGTCTCGCTCTTGCTCAGGCTGGTTTTGAACTCCTGACCTCGAGCGATCCGCCCGCTTAGGCCTCCCAGAGTGCTAGGATTGTAGGTGTGAGCCACCGCGCCCGGCCCCTTTCATTGTTTTTTAAGACCTTGATATTTTTCAAAAATTCAGGTCAGCCGTTTTGTAGAACGTCCCTCGTCTTTTCCCCCCTTTACCCCTAATCAAGTCAAATAAGTTCATTATGAAAAATTGGGGCAATATAGAAAAGCAAATGAAAGTTGCCCCAACTCCTACGGTGCAGGTATAGCCCTGCAGACAGTCCTTGTAGACACTCGAGTAAGTGACCCTGCTGTTCCCCATGCTGTGTACACATTAACTCAAGATTCCTGTGAGGGAGGTGTCTTTGCTGTCTCTCTCTTTACAGCCGGTCTCAGAGACCTTGGATGACTTACCAAAGGTCACAGGCAGGAGAACTCAAAGCCCTGGATAACCCTGCTGTGGGGGCCGTCCTATGCACGTAGGGTGGTTAGCAGTGTCCCTGGCCTCCACCCACTAGATGCCAGCAGCAGTCCCCAAAGTTGTGACTACTGAGAATGTCTCCAGAGATTGCCAAAATCACCCCCTGGTGAGAACTACTCTGTGTATGTGTGTCAAGCCAGGTCACACCGTATTCACTTCTGGAATCTTCTTTCCCAGGGATTGGTACTTTGTGGTCACTCTAGTTTCCTTCCATTTCCTTCTCCATCCCATGTCTAATGGTTGCCAGGTGTAACCTATCAAGGACCTCATGTATTGACAAAAAAGACAACCTCATTGCTGTAGTTGTCTTCTATTGCCATAAAACAAAGGGCCATGGTTTAAAGTAACGCCCCCTTTAAAAGCTCCCAGTTCTGTGGGTCGAAGGCTGGGCACATTGCGCCTGGGTTGTCTGGAGTCTCAGATGCTGAAAGCAAGGTGTCGGCTAGGCTGGGTGCTCACCTGGAGGCGCTGCAGAGGAATCTGCTTCCAAGGTCGTTCTCGTGGTTGGCAGAATCCAGTTCCTTGCAGCTGTAGGACTAAGGCCCCCATTTCCTTGATGGAGGTCTGCTGGGGTCCCTCTGGATCCTGAGAGGCTACCCGCATTCCTTTCCACATGGTCTGCTCCATCTTCAAGCCAACAAGGACACATTGAATCTTTCTTGTGTTTTGAATCTCTGACTTCCTTTTCTGCAGCTGACCAGCTGGAGAAAATTCTCTGCTTTTAAGGAGCACATGAGGGCAGGAGGGCCCCCAGGACAGTCTCCCTGTGTAGAGTGTGCCACCTAACACAGCCTGTCACGGAGTAAATCTGTCAGATTCATACTCTCAGGATTACACTGGGTGTGTACACCAGGGTGGTAGATCTTGGAGACATTATGAAATTCTACCTACCACAATGGCCAAAAGGCAAGAGAGGTGTTTCTGGGGGAAATCATGGAACCAAGGGGCAGAGGGCCAGGCCAGATGAGCAGGAGGAGGAGGGGGCATGACCCCAACTCTGGGAAGGGCCCTGCGGTGTTCCTGCCCAACAGGTACTTCTGGGAGCAAGCATGGAGCTCAGACAGACACGGGCCTCAGTGGGGACTCTGGCTTCCAGTCCGCTCTCAGATGGCCCTTCACCATTTTCTGTATTTAAGATGAACATGCAGGTCAGAAGAATGTCACAACTGGGCCAAAAGGGCAGAAAGAGAGAATAGCTGTCAGCAGAGCGGGTGGGCTGGGCACAGCTCTGTGGACCATCACAGACCATGCTAAGCAACCTGCCCAAAGACTTTGATTTGGGGTAAGGAGGAAGGAGGTGTCAGGTCAGCAGAGGGGACTGAATGGTGGCCTTGGGGATGCTGTCTGACCCCTCCTGAGGTGTGGGTGTGAGAGGCTGGGGCACTGGGCCAGAGGCCAGAGGGGATGGGCTCTGTGCCCTGGTGGCTGAGTGTGACACATGGTTGGGGACAGAACTACCTGCCAGCCTCCAGACTGTGAGCCACCCATGGTAAGGCTCAGGGCAGCCCCTGGCCGCAGGGGAATTTAGGGGAGAGGCTATGGCCAGGGAGAGGGAGCCAGAGCAGAAGAACATGGGCAGACTTGTTCTTGTGCACACATGAGATGCAGCCCAGGGACCCCTAGAAATGGCTGGCAGGAACCTGAGCAGACCTGTAGCCCACACCCAAGACCACTGTCACTCAGGCAGCAACACCTGTGCACCTCATTTGTACTCTCAAGCTGCTGAGGCTGGGGGACATCAGGGCTACACCCACCATTTCATTAGTGTAGGGTAAGGGGGACCCCAGCACCCTGCAAGGAGCCTCTGATGTCATCACTGTAGAAGGCAGAATGCTCTTGTGCCAAATAATAAACCACTTCCTGTGGGGTTCCTGTGCACAATCTCTACAGCAAAGGCCTGGGGCCCAAGGCAGGGCCAGGACGGTGTCTGGGCTCCCCAGTGAGTTGAAGGTAAACACTAAGCCCTGTGTTCAGCTGCAGCTCCTGCCCCAACAGTCTCTGCAGGGTGAAGCCAGAGGCTGCTGGGACTAAGACACACATTTAGAAGCCTGGCAGTTGACTATAGTTTTTACCAAAAGCATGTGAGGCCTCTAAGTCTCAGCTCTGCAAGCACTGTGCAGTTACATGTGCACATTGCCCGGCAAAGGTGCAAGCCTGTCCCCAAGGCTGCAGAGCAGCAAAGGGGCTAGAGAGGGCTGGTGAGCTTCAAGGCAGGGAGTTCACGCCAGCCTGCACCTGGGAAAGAGGCTCTGGAATCTCTCTCCTTCTGTTTTTCCACCTGCCAAACTCGCACCTTCAAAAGGTTAGCACGTGGACAGAGCAAGTTATTCAAATTCCGAAGGCCCAGCTTCTCATTCAGCCCAGGCTACCTCGAAGAAAGTCTCTGGACACTCCAGGGCCTCAGGCTTTTTCTCAGTGGGATTTGAAAGCAGCTAAGATGCTGACACTGTCATCTCCAAATTGGGCCATGTCCTGGCTGTCAGATGCCGACAGAGGCCTCTGGAGCCCAGCAACTCTCCCTAGAGGCCGAGCCCAAGGCCATGGCTCCTGCTGCGAGGCCTTGCGGTGTGGAAAGGATACCCTTCTGGCCAGGCCAGAGATCCTGGCATGCAAAGAAACAGATTTCCTCGTTTTTTTACCTTGTTCTGGCAAAATGGATCTGTTGCAGTCTCATGACTGCAAGAACAAAAATCTGTGCTTATATGCAAACTTTCTCAGTGGAAAGAATGAACCACTCCTCGTCCCAGAGAGAAATCTATGTGTTTTTGGCTTTTCCCAGCCCAATTCTTCTGCTATATTTGGAGAAAAAACTCCCTCTTTATTATTTTTTTTAAAGTTGCCTTTGGGGACCTTGTAGACACTTCCCTAGACTAGGCCATGACAGGACTGAACTTCCAGGGGAGGCAGGCTGCAGCAGACCTCTTTCTGCTGGATGAGGGCAGCCTCTAGGAGACCCAGGGGGACCCGAAGGCTGCACTTGCTGGGAATTGAATGAATGTGTCTGTGAACTGAAGAAGAAAACACTCAGAATGAGGGATGGACATGGTTTCTGAGACAAAAGGGAAATTGAAGCCTCCATCAGTCTGCGCTGGACCCAGGTAGACAGGCCGAAAGTGAAACAGTAGAGAAACCAAAAGTGAAATGGTTCATTTATATTTTATAACATTTTCCCACCAAACAGAAACCATCCTACTCAAAGAACACAAAGAAAATTAGGACATTTTCACAATCAGAGGCACGACAAGATAAAGAAGCTGCCTAGGACCTGGGTGCCAACTCCATGAAATTGGAGGAACTAATTCCTGGCCACTTGAACCTCAGTAGAGTGAGACAGAGCTCTTCTTCCAGTCTTTCCAGCTCTGTGGAGAAGTCAAGTGGCCATACATAACAACAGGGCCCAGGTTTCATTTATAAATAACCCGGGAACATTTTGTTGTTTTCAGTTTTCTGGCGCTGGGTTTTCCCAGCACACAAGGCTCTGGGGAGATGTGAAAATCATGGTGGGTCAGTGTGAGTGCTGCGGGGCTCAGAGCGGCCTCATTGAGACATGGAACAACTGCTTCATTCAGGATCCCTTCCCCCACCTCCCATTTTTCCTAGACCCACCCAAAGATTGCATCTCCAGGGTGGATCCCCCATACCACTGTGTAGGAGCTAAATCCTTCGGCTTCTAAGGCTGACCCAGGAAGTCTGGACTGGGCCCCCACCCCACCCCAGGCTCCTGGCCAATTGGCATGCAGCCTCTGGTGACAGCCCCTGCCTAGCGGCCTCAGTATCCTCTTATGGAGAATGCCAAAAAAAGTCTTGATGGCTTCTGCACTTTACTATGATTGATGAAAAGAATGTTAATGAAATCCCAAATAAAAGCAGTAAGTCAGGGACCTAAGATTGCAGGCAGGGCTGACATTTGCTCTCCAGTGGTTAGGGAGGAGCAAGAGGGGAAGGCAATCAAACTAACGTTATCTATTCCCTCAGAAGGTTCAGAGGCCAGATCCTACAAGGGCTGGGTGACCAAACCTCCTACTGTGTTCTCTCTGGATCCCACCTGACTTGGCTCTAGTTCCTGCCTCTGTCCCCTTAGCCTGCCAGACTGCATTCTTCCCAGATATAGGCACCCAGCCCTCTAGTCTTCCACACCTCCCCAAAGCCAGAAAATTGGACAACTGGCTTTCAAGTTCCCAGGTTCATCTTAGATCTCTCCAAGAGCCCATGGGCCCCCCTCCCATACTTTGGTGTTCTGATACTGGTTACCTAACAATCACAGTCCCTAAAGCTCTGACATCATCTACTGAAGATTCAGCCTGGACAGCCAAGGGGGTATATGTGTGGCCAAGGATGATGGCGGGGGCATGAGCCCAATGGAACAGCCAGGAACTGGTAAGAGGGGTGGGACATAAATCAGAGTAAAAGATGGTAACTGGTGGTGACCCTGAGAGGAAAGCGGAAGTATTTGGGTTTTTAAATTTCCCCCTAAGTTCCCACAAGATTGCACTGTTGCCCCCACATTTCCCTTCTCCCCACATAGGGAATTTCCGATCTCACTTCCTCAAAGCGCAAGTGGCCAGAGGGCCTCAACTTCCTCTTTATGACCTCCCGCCCTGCCACAGCTGCAGTCTCTCTGGGGAAGCCTTCTCTTCACCCCCACACGTCAAATGTCACGTATGTCCTCCATCGCTTGTCCCTCTCCCAATCCCAGTCCCGTCGGCCTGAGGAAAGGTCAGGCCTTTTGCTGCCAGTTAGACTTTCCCCATCGGCTCCTTCTCTCTCCCCATTTTTTTTTTCCTGGTCACCACCCCACTTGGGATTCTCTACTCCATCAGCTTCCCCTGCTACCTCTTTCCTGTCTCCCCCTCTGCAAAGTAGATAAAAGATGAGGGGACGAGAGGAATGTGTCAGAGAAGCGCGAAGGAGAAGAGGTGCCGCGACCCCGGGGCCTCCGATGCTTCCGGGGATTCTGAGCCGGTGGGAGGAGGACGGTTCACGGGGGCAACTGCGGGTGGGACGCGTAGTCCAGGAGCTGCAGTGTCTAACTGGGTTCTTGCGGAGCCAACCTGCAGGGTGCGGGGGCTCACGAGTGCTGGAAAGCGCCTAAACCCCCTCCCCGCCTTTCCAACCGCAGTACTTCCGCTAGCAGCCCCTTGAGGGGCGGGGCGAAACAGGTGCAGTTGCCACAGCACCCCGACCAGGAGCTCGCGAGATTTGGAATCAGCCAATGGGAGGCGGAGGAGGGGAGGACGTGGCACGGAGCTAAGGGGCGGGGCCTGGGGCTCCTTCCTCCCCTCCCATTCCCCGCTGCTCAGGCGGCGGCGGCACCAGCGGGATCGCAGGACCGATCCTATAAAGGGCGCTTGACGGGGCGCGCGCTCCACTTGGCTGAGGGCGCCTCCCCGGGCTGTGCCGTGCGCCTGCGCAGTGTGGGCCGCTCCCCGCCCCCTGCCCCGCTGCTGCCGCCTGCTGTTTTAGTCGGCCGGCCAGGCCCCGCCTCGGCTCCGTGCCCTAGCCCAGCTCTCAGCCGCCGGTCTGCCCCGCAGCAGCCAGCCCCGTCTCCAACAGCATGTTCAGCTGGGTCAGCAAGGATGCCCGCCGCAAGAAAGAGCCGGAGCTCTTCCAGACTGTGGCCGAGGGGCTGCGGCAGCTGTACGCGCAGAAGCTGCTGCCCCTGGAGGAGTACTACCGCTTCCACGAGTTCCACTCGCCCGCGCTGGAGGACGCTGACTTCGACAACAAGCCCATGGTGCTCCTCGTGGGCCAGTACAGCACGGGCAAGACCACTTTCATCCGGCACCTGATCGAGCAAGACTTCCCGGGGATGCGCATCGGGCCCGAGCCCACCACCGACTCCTTCATCGCCGTCATGCACGGCCCCACCGAGGGCGTGGTGCCGGGCAACGCGCTTGTCGTCGACCCGCGGCGCCCCTTCCGCAAGCTCAACGCCTTCGGCAACGCCTTCCTCAACAGGTACCCACCCCTTGTCACAGGATGCGGGAGGCGCTGCTGGGACACTCGGGCCCGACCCTCCCGCGGCTGTGGCCCCCGCCGTCCTTTGTCTCCAAGGCCCTGGTGAGACCCTCAGCGACCACTCTCTGGGACGAGCCCTGCCTCTTTTCACAGAAAACCCACCCGGGAGTCTGGGAGTGGGCCTTGCCGGCTCCGGCTTCTGTGGCCCCAGAATCTTTCAGGTTATCAGTTTAACTCCCAAACCCCCAGCAGATCCTAGCCCCACTTCCCTCAGAACAGGGCCGTGGTAGGAGGGTGAGGCATTCCTGTTTGCTCTTCCTAGGTCTCCACCTCCTGCCCCACACTGGACACTACGATTCATTCAAATCAGCCCCTCACTACCCTGCCTTCAGGGCTCTGCTTAAGTGTCCTGGGAAAGCACAAACTGTTAGCCATTACCTTTGCTGGTGTGGTATCTCTGCTCTACCTTCCCTAGGACGGTGGTTTTGTGTAGGAAGGACAAGGAGATGCTGCTGTGGCCTGCTAATTTGGGGGCAGCCCTGGAGGCTGGGGACTGATGGGGTTTGAACACTTCCAAAGGCAGCTCTCAAAGGTCAGTGCTGCCTTGAGGAGCTTCAGGAAGCAGCATGAGGTAGTGGCACTGGGAGCCCTGAAATTATATTCCAGCCCCAAGTCCCTCTGTAGATGAAATAAGATGTTCCTTAACCTGGCCTCAGTTTCCCCAATTAAATAAGTAAGACCTGCCTCCCCATGAATCCAAGATTCATACCCTCGTGATGCCATGAATGAAGCACAATGGCTCCTCTCGGAGAAGAAGTCACTTTTCTATAAAGGATCTCAAGGCATCCCATCCCAACCCCCCAGGGAACATACCAAAGGACTTCACAGACCCTGCCCTCTCTGCCACCCCCATTCAAGGAGTGACTCCACATGCCTTTTCAGTTAGGGGAAGAGCCTAGGAAGGAATCTGAATCCTGCCTCCTAGGTCCCCGCCCTTCATGACCACATTCCTTTCCAGACACTGTCCAGCCCCACAGCGAGCCAGTGCCAGGCCTATCTCCATGTGCAGAGTTGACCTTCAGTGTTGTATTTTTGCCCCCTCCAGGCATGTCAGCTTGTCCTCTTGTTTTATGGCTGTTGGTGTTTGTATGTCAGGGCCACACAAACACCAAACAACCCTTTGGGCTAAGGGTCCTGAAGAGAGAGGCTGGATCCTCTTAGCCTTGAGCGATTTTGTAATGCTTGAGTCAGGGTTATGCATCAGCCAGATAGTGTTCATTGTACCCAGATCTCCTGTGTTTTAACATTTTTGTGTCTGTAGATAGGCAGTTGGCTCAAACCATAAGCTGGGGAGAGCCATTTGATCTTGTGGAAAGTTTGGCTGCTGTGCTGGAAAGTCTAAGCATTAGGTCTCTGCTTCCACGCAGAACTCTGGGAAGCCATAAGGAAGGGTCACTGTACCTGCCTCTGCTGTCCTTAGGTATTCACTTTTGATTGTAAGCGCAGACCAGTTTTGAAAGGAGAAACAGGGCACATGACTGGTTCTCTGAATTTGGAAACCCAGAGTTTCAGAGTTGGGAGGATCTTAGCATCTCAGCAACCCTCACCTTGTTGGTTGAGGAAGCTGAGTGCCCAGGTGACTGGTCGAGGCCTCCCTTTAAGTTTATGCAGCACTCACTGCCTGGCCTTTGCATGGCCAGTTACTGCCCGCTGTTGCTTCTACCCGGAAAAAGAGCAGTTCTGTTTAGGAGCACTTGGTCCAAAACAGGCACTTTGATGACATGGGTGCCACAGGATCTGAAAGCAGCACGTTTTTATTTCCTTCTTGCCACCACCTCATCTTCAGAGGGTCCATCCTGAACATGGATGGCGCTGCCAGAGGGGTCCTTGTCAGCTGGAGCCGAGGCCTGGAGCCATGTCAGTGTGTATAGTGCGGGGAGTGCCACCAGGCTGGGGAGGACACAACAAAGGGGGCTTTTCTCTGGCTGATACAGCCTCTCTTCAAGAGACCCATTGAGTCATGGACTGGACTTTCCGGCCTTTTTCCCCTGAGTGTTGCTCTAAGAATAAAATCAGATGGAGCAGACCCAGGCAGGGCGCAGTCAGGGTGTCCTAAGAACATCTTGTGAAAACTCCTCCTTGCATAACTGGGACTGCCCTCTTGTAGTGTGAGATAAAATATGCCTCCTTGTTGGTGAAAAGATGGGATTGGTGCATCTTTACTGCCTGCTGCCTTTCTTGTTTTCTGCCACACTCCCTGGGCTTTGCAGAGCAACTGTTTCTGGGTCCTACAGTTGTTGTCTCGCTGGCCAGGCTCATTTTTATGTATGTTACTTCCCAGAGCCAGTTTGACTTCCAGTCCTCCTAGTGGCTCCTGTCCCTAGCAGCTCTGCTGCTGGCACTAGTGAGGGTGAGGTCCAAGGGCTGTTTACCCTGTGGGTCAGCTGGTCTTGCTCTGCTGCACTTGCAGGCAGCACCTCTCACCCTGGCCAGTTGTCCCCAGCCTGTGGGCCACTGGTCACTTGGGGGAAGGTGACCAAAAGGAGAAGCTAATCAGCTCAGATTCCTCCCCCTATTGGAAAGGCTTTGAGTCTGTATCTACAGACAATGGGTTAGTATTTTCTTTGCTCACATAACTTTTTCAGAGAAGTGTTTAAAGGAGCTTTTTCTGTGTCCCGTAAAGAATCCCTGCTGTCAGTTGAGACAGCCCCTTGCTGTTCTGGACTGTTCTAAGCTTAGTGTGGAACTCAGGCAGGCATAGCTGAGCCCTCGGCCATGAGTCACCAGCTCTCCGCAGCCTTGTTCTCTCTCGGCCTGCTTTGACTTTGAGAGAGCGATGGACTGTACTTCCTCGCCCACTGTCCACCAGCCTGTGTGGCCTCCTGGCTTTTACTGGCCACCCATTGCAGCTAGGTGAAAGGGCAAGACTGGCCCTTTTGGCAAAAGGAAGAGACTGGCTCTTTTTGGCTTGTGGAAGTTTCGCCAAGCAGTTGAAAACATTAACTTGGAGTTCCAAGGTCCGAGTGTCACCCTCCTGTTTCCTTTCTGAGTTGCAGGGTGACCTAGGCTCACACAGTTTTCACTAACAAGTCAGCAGGTTGAAAATTGAACTCTGGAATTCTGGGGGAAAGCAGATGTGAGGGAAGTGCTGGCGTGGGTCATTTCTTGCCTGCTGGTTGCATGCCCAGTTAGGAAAGTACCTCTAATTTGCTGGCCACCCCCGGAAACTGAGATGACAGAAAAGCTCCTATGAACTCCTTGCTTCTGGAGAGGAAGCCAGAGATGGAGACAAAGTCCAGAAAGCCCTGTTAGTGCATCTGCAGCAGTGATAACGCTGTCTTGACGTCTCACTTCTGGCTTTTGCTCTCATGTAGGTTCATGTGTGCCCAGCTGCCCAACCCAGTCCTGGACAGTATCAGCATCATTGACACTCCTGGGATCCTGTCCGGGGAGAAACAGCGCATCAGCAGAGGTAAACAGGTCCTGGCCACAGCCCGGGGCACTGGTGTCGTCAGACTCCTTCTATCTGATGTCTGCGACCTGGTTCAGATCTGCCCTTGAGATTTCTTCCAGCCCCAGGCTTTTGAAAAAAGTAGGTCCAAGCGAGTACCCATTTTACATGAGTCTCTTAACCTCCGCAGTGCTGCACACATGGAGGGGACAGGAGCTGCTTTCTCCCTTGCTCGCTGTGCCCAGGTGACAAGAGCAGCCAAGGAGAGACCATAGCCAATTTTGTGCCACTGTCGTGCTTTCAAACCCATGAGGCATGCTGAGAACAACAGGATCGGGAGACAGGGCCTCAGGCCACACGGTGAGGGCACAGGAAATGGCTTACTACCTGTGCTACCATCCAGCCAGCACCCTGGTTCCCTGTGGCTCACTTGCTTTAGCTTGTGTTTAAAAGCTTTGCCTTCCAAAGCCGTCTAAATTCCTAATAGAGTCGAGCAGGACTGTGAGGGAGCCAGCCAAAAGGAGAAGTTAGCAGAAATTTGCTGAAACTTTTAGGGGCTAGTGGAAATTTGCCTAGCTGTCGATAGTCAGCAGCCTCCCTGGGTGAGGTTTCCATGCTATAGATTAGTGCTAGGCCCATTCCAGGTGTGTAAACTCCTACCTGGATGTCACTGAACTTTTTTGAAGATCTGGTTTGGGATGAGCCTGACCTGGGTCATTTATCAGCCACTGCCCCTTTTTGTAGAAGGGCAGGGCGCTTTGGGAGCTGGATGCCTTCTGGGAGGAGCTTGAGGGCACGTGGCTGGTACCTGGCAGGTAAGGAGTGGCATCTGCAGCTACCAGTGTGAGAATGGAATAAGACCAAACTCAAAGAGAGGTTGAGGACTAGTGACCAGGTTTGTTTATCATTAACTTGCAAATGTTCCTGCGTCCCTTTCTTCTAGAATGCCCGGTGGTAGTGAGCCTTGTAGCCTGGGATTTGGGGTGCATGTGTGTCTCTCTGCTGGGGCTCTGAGGGGGTGCAGGCTCTGTTCTTGGTGCTGAGAAACCTCGCTTCTCTTTCTTTCCAGGCTCGTGGGCCCTGTCAATGTGGGATTGCATCAGAGTGTACTGAAACTGCTGTCTCTAATCTGGTCGCAAAGCTGCCAATTAAGCTTTTAGGTTCTTCCACCCCTGGTGATAGTGACAGTCCTAGGAGTTCAAGGGAGGAGATTTGGGGACCTGTTTTTTAAAGAGTGAGGGCTATTTTTTTTCTTTCTTACCGCTATTATTGTTCCAATCTGATTTTTTAAAAATACCTGTTAAGCAAAAGACTTGTCATTTGCCGCAGCAAGGCTAGAGAGTCTGAATAAGTTACTCTTAAAGAGAGACAAGCACAGAGGGAATGTGTTCTCAGTCTGCCTCCAGGGCCGAGGTATTCTGGAGGGACTTTGTTTAAGGCTCTATTGAGGTGTCTTTCAGTAGCAGAGGGGGCTTCTCTGTCAGGGGCCCTGAGATAGAGAGGCCCTGGCGGGCAGCTGGTGTGTACACATCCTGGGGGAAGGGACAATAGCGCACAAGAAGAGGTTTATCTGGCCAGAGTGCCACTGCTCAGTGTTGCTTTGGAGCCGAGTTAAGTATTCAAGGGGAAGGCTTTAGGGCTCTGGAGGCCCCTATTGTCTCAAAAAGGAACTCAGAAAGAGCTGCTTTCCACCAGTGATGGGAAGGTCCCCTGCTGGACCGGCTGGGACACTTCTTGCGTGTCCTCAGAGCTTAGCAGGCTGAGCAGCTCAGACTGTACGTCTGGTTGTGTTGAGTGCCCTGGACCCTGCCTGCTGGGACGTTCCCTCTGCTTCCTTTCCTAGTTAGGAGAGACAGGCAGTGGTGTCTACACTTGCTGTTTGGGGGACAGGCCCCAAAGCAGCGCTCGAGGTGTAGGCTCCACAGTCAGTGGACCACCAAACAGGATGTGTTTCAACTAGGGGCTAGGGAAGCCTCGGGTGTGGCAGGTGGTCCTGGTCTTCAAGTTGCCCGTGCAAACGACAGATTGGAGGAGTGAGCTGTCAGTACTCTGCCTGTGGGGCCTGCCTGTCCCCTCTGGGAATAAGGTGTGGCCCCTCTGGGTTCCTGAGCTGCCAGGCTCCCCTGAATCCACAGAAGGCCTCCCAACTGCATTGTGGACAGGAAGGGGGGTGGCCGAAAGAGGAGCACATGGCTCCAGTTGGAGGAGGGTTGCACAAGGTCAGACTGATTTAACTAGACTATTTCTTTCCCTCCATAGTCCTAGAGGTCTTGGTTTAAACGCATCTTACTTGCTTGGGCATGGTGGTGTTCACCTGTAGTCCCAGTTACTGGGGAGGCTGAGGCGGGAGGATTGCTTGAGCCCAGGAGTTCATGATCAGCCTGGGTGATATAGCAAGACCCCATCTCAATTAAGGGGAAAAAATAAAATAAAATAGTGTTTGACCACTATACAATATATATGTGTAATGGGGAAAAAGTTACCCAGTTGGGGTTTGGTGTTTTGTCCTCAGAAGGAAGACCGTCGCTGGGTCCCTCTTGGAGGTGCTGGTGTGGACTCCAGGGCGGAACTGCTAGGTGACTGGGAGGAGTGGACTTAGCCTTCCTGGAGCCACGCCCATCAGTCAGGCAAAGGCTCGTGTCGCCCTGTCCAGCGGAGGAAGTCAGCAGGGCAGTGCATTCCAGGCCTGGGCTGGCTGCCTCCTGCTCCCTTTGCTGGTGGCGTGGAAAGCAGGTGTTTCCCTCAGAAAGATAGGGCCACAGCACACGGGGCCCGGCAAGCGGCACGCCTTCCCATGGCCCGCCAGCCCCATTCCCTGGGAACAGACGTCCTTGTGGAGACTGCATGTGCACAAACGTTGCTAATGACATTTACTTCCATTTCCCACCCTCACTGGCCTGGCCCCTCCTGGCTTCTTTTCACCTTGTTGCCTAATGTGTGCAGGAAATGCTGTGTGCAAAGATAAGGTAGGACACCCGGAGCAGTCAGGATGCGGCCAGGCTCTGTAAGGGACGCTGAGCCAATCTGAAGAGGAGGGGGCCCCTGCCCGGGTCTCGGGCCGCTCTTGCCCTTGTGCTAATCTTCTGAGTGACTTTAAAGATAGCACTCTCCTGTGTCAGCAGAGAAAGGTGGCCTGTGGGCACAGCGTTCATTCGTGACTGATAAAGGGCATTCCAAAGGGCAGCTGGGGTGCGGCGGGGCCACCATCCCCGCACAGTCACAGTGCAGTGGAGCCTGGGAGTAGGCTCTACCCACAGCTAAGCTGGAACTTCCGTGCCTCAGTTTCCCTCACGGAAGTTGGGTCATTGGGGGCTGGGAGACCTGGCCGGCTTTGTGCCTGACTTTTGCTGGCCCCGCCAATGGGCTCCATCGCGTATCACAGCAGCTGCATCTGTGCGGAAGCCACTGCGTTTCAGAGGAGGAAACCGGTTTAGGAAAGTTGAGTAATTAGCCTAAGATGACACAGGCTAGCAAGCGTTGGCCTCAGGATTCGAACCCAGGCAGGGGCTGTGTATGTACATACCACAGTGCAGCTGAGAGAGGGCGCTTTGGTGTGAAGGAGTCCCGAGAGCTTGGATTAGACAGACTTTGACCCTACGGGGTCGTTACTGTGGCGGTTTGGAGCTCTCCTGAAGTGTGCGGAGCCCACGCTCGGCTTCTCTTCCAGCCAAGGTCGGACTCCTAGTCCAGAAATGGACCTGAGGTCTGGGGCCTTGAATGACATTGCTGGTATCATCTTCCTTTTCCCTGTTTCCTGCCTCCAGCCAGAAATGGCCCCCAGGCCGCCCAGGGAGTGGCACTTGGAGCCCTGGCCCAGGGTTGCTGGTTCCCTGGGTTCTCATTTGCCCTCTAACTCTATCCAAGGCTAGGAGCCGTCCTCATCCTTAATAGTTGACAGGCCCCCCCCCCTTGGCCCAGACTCACAGCTGTGTGGCCTGGAACCCTCTGACCCAGAGGTGGAGCTGCTCTGTAGACAGCCCTCCTCCTGCTGCCGCCCCCAAGGTGCCCCAACGCCAGCAGCCCTCTAGGCCGCTGGTTCACCAGGGCGCTCTGCAGACCTTACGGTGTTCCAGGGGTTTTCCGGAGGCTCTGGGCAAGGCCAAATGCTGTGTCCCTCTTGGATTCACAGCATCCACAGCACACATATAACAGAAGGTTCAAATCCCACGTCAGTATTTTAGGAGCTGAGTGGCCCCAGGGAGTTGCCATGACCCCTGGGAGCGGCGTCAGTGCAGTGGGCATAGCAATACCAGCCTCCAGAGCTATTGCCGAGTACAGACACTCACTTGTGTAGAGCTCTTGCCTCGTGCCTGGCACACAGTTAAGTGTGCAACAGATGTCAGCTGACTGATAATACAGAGACTGAAACATCCAGGGTGCCCCAGGCGTTGATGAAGGAGACCCGTTTTCTGTGTAACCTGGAGGGGGATCCTCAGGGCAGCGCTGACTCTACCAGGTCTTCCCTTCAGGCTCCAGGGCCGCCTCTGGGCCCTGCAGCTTCCGGCCTCCATGCACCCTCCCAGGCCTTCAGCTCAGCCCCTGCGCCACTGTTCCCTCCCCTGGTCCGGCAGACCGGAGTGCTAGGAGGCTGTTGGCCACGCCGTGGCGGAGGAGGCGGCGGCGTACCAGGCTGTGCCTGCGGCACCTGTTCCCAGGCTGCGAGCAGCGCGGGCGGGGGAGCAGCTGGCGGGGTGCCGGCACACGCCGTTTATATTTGGAGGACGAGGCATTCGTCATGCATGTGAAGTGGTCCTTGCCCACACATCCATCAGAATCTGAGCTTCTTGAGCCCAAAATACAAATCCTGGGAGTAAATAAGAGCAAACATTTACGAGGTGCTCACAGCATGCCAGGCTCAGCCGATCCTCCCAGCAGCGCTCCCAGGGGGAAGCCGGCTGTCTTCCAGCCATAGGTGGAGAGACTGGGGACTGAGGCTCCAGAGGCAAGTGGCCTCTGGGGTCACACAGCTGGTTTGTAGGAGACTCAGGATGGAGATGCGGGCCCGATTCCAGCATCTGCCT